GGTGCCTGAGGTATCAAGGGCAATTGCAAAACTAAGAGCAGAAGGAAAACTTGCGATGCTGGAGAAGTCATGGTTTAATGGATCATTTTTTATGCCTCAGAGCTCTGTCAGCCACCCCAGCAACACTCTGAACCTTGAGAGTTTCAGCGGTTTATTTCTTATAAGTGGGGTCACTTCGGCCATAACCCTTCTCATTTTCTTAGTTTGCTTTCTTAGAGAAAGATTTGCTGTTCAAAATCATATCTTGACAATCCTAGCTCAAGGACAGCCGCTATTGTTCTTGATGAGGTACATTTTCACTAGAAATGTTACATAAAACTGATACATGAAGCTTCCATTATTGCGGAGTTTAGAAGAATTCAAATGTAAATAGTCTAACCTTTGCTTAGAAGGGACTATTTATGTAACTGAAAATACTACAAAATTGAAGAAATCAATGCAAATATAATTGATTAGCTACTTAAATTTTTGCACTATGCATCATGATGATCGTTAATATGTTTCATCCGTTTGGTTTGTTATAATCCAATTTTTGAGTAATATGAGCATAATTATTTTAAGACTTCAAAATTTGATCTAATATTTTGACATAATAATGTGTAAGTAATCTGATCTCAATGAAAAAATTCAATAGTCATGATAAAATATTATTGGAACATATTTTATCAGTCAAGTTATTAGATTAATAAATCATACCAAAATTTTATGTTATTGTAGCATTACTGGTAACACAATAGGATTCACTCAAAGAACCTAGCGTCCAATCTAGGGGCGTTTGGATAAAATTTGAGATCGGGATTGGACTGGACTAACAACTCATCCAATCCAACCTTTTGTCCCATTCAGTTCACACTTATCTTTGGGGAAAAATGGTAAATTCATATTTTAATTTTGTTGATGTCATTTCACACCAAATTTATCCCAACTATGAGGTTGGTTTGATTAAACCCATCATATGAACTCTAAGGTGTAACTCAAGTGGTAATAAAAATGAATTGTAAATTCAGATATCTTAAATTTGAATTTTGACAATCTCAAGGGATCAGGCCAAGAGGAATTTCTTTCTCATGAATATCTTAATCTCAATGTGGATGGTTTGTCTTTAACCGGATCGGAGAGGAGATTAGTCGATGTGCGTATAATTAGTCTCAACACTCCTGCATGTTGAAAAAAAAAATCTTATGTATGGTTTACAACACTGTAGCATGCGGTCCTTAGATTATATATTATGTTAAAACTAGGACTAGGCACCGACTCCGACAGAGTTGGAAAGCACACCTCCGAATTTTGACTCCGACTTTAGTTGGAGTGAATTTTTCCCTCCGACTCTAAACTACTATAATTCCAATTCCGACTCCGCTTGTTGGAGGCAGAAGTAGAGATTTGAAAATGTAACTAATAATGCTCTTAACACGATTAAGTAGTGATGAGAGTATAAAGTGCACTGAACAGTTAAGTTTAGTTCAATCTAAGCTCCAAGATTCGTGAGAATATGATCTGGGAAATGAGGATGATCACACAGAGTGATTATAGTGGTTCGTCAGCTTGAGAGCTCGACTAATTCATTCTCAAGGGAGTCTCTTACTCCTGAATATCTTGATTATTGGAGAGTTTACAGAAAGTATTTTAGTGAGGCTACAATGACTTGTTGTTTCTGTCGAGGACTTTGCCTCCTATTTATAGTTATTCCTGGGCTTAGCTTAATCTGAGGCGAGATCCTAGCTTCTTTCTTGTAACGGTTGCTTCTATTGCGCAATTGATGCGGTAGATGTTGGGGCGGTTATGAGACTTGCGCCTGATAAGTAACCGTTGCTACTAATGGGGTATTTGGTGGAATCAAGTTGTCATATGCGCAGCCTTCCTTGGGTCTAAGGTCTGGAGTCGAGGTCTATGGGTAACTTGACTGAGCTGAGCTCCCGACCTGAGAGATCTGACTTGAATTATCGAGCTCAACCTTGGGCATATTCGTGGTACCATTAATTGCCCCTCAGTCCCTAGTCAAGCAGAGTTGTATGAGCTGGGACTGAACTCTGCCTTGGGCGAGTGAGGTTGCCCTGGATAGACTTCGAGATGCGCATAATTGGACATTTTTTTCCGGTTATGGCAAACGTGCAATCATTCCCTCCTCGTTTCTCGTGCACGTCCCTTACTTAAAGGTTTCACGTGTCTGTCCCTATGCTTAGCCTTAAATGCATCATCAGACAACCGCCTCTTTCAATATTTTGAACCCTCTCCGTCTTCTTTCTTTCCTTCCTCTGCTGCTTTCATCTTCCCCAATTCGTTGAAGATTTAGGGTTTTTCAGAAAAATTCTCAATTTTACTCCGAAGGTTCTGCGAAGCTGGCCTAATTCATTCAGATTTTCCCTTGGTTCTTGGTTTCTCAATCGTTCCCACCTAGGTACGTCCCTTACTTTACTCTTTCTTCTCCTCTTTTAATCTTTCTTTCATTCTAGATCCATTGAATTCGACGTGGTTGTTTAATTTCTGAACTTTTCGCTTTTGTTACTTTAGGAATTGAGGTCGTTCCTTATCCTTTCTTCCCCTCTTCTTGGACCCTTACCTTAGTGCTAGAGTTTTTCTCTTTGGCCGTTAGTGTCTCAACCTTAGGGCTCTTAGAGATTGTTTTACTTATGTTCCCCCCTTTTACAGCTCCTTCACTCATCCTTTCTCCTATTCAATCATGTCTCTTTCTTCCGAAGTCACTGCTTCGTCTATCTCTCTTGTCATGGGTGATAGGTCTCCTGAATTAGAAGAGGATGACCTGGAGGATGTAGGTGATGAAATAGATAACTTGAGGAGAGGGTAGAGGTGTCTTTATCTTTACTAGGGTCTTCCTCGAGTTCTAAGCGATCTTAAAAAGGAAAGGCTAAAAAAGGTAAAGCTGGGCCCTTAGGCAATGTTGAGAGCTCTAAACCTGTTCCTCATGCTTTAGACCTAATAGGTCAAAGCGAGGTTACACCTCCTTTCATGAGAGTCCTCTCTACGAGGTTTGGCTTTCCCAAGGTTATGCGTTATTGGTGCCCCTCTTTAGATATAAGGTATGACTCCAAGGTTTCTGAGAAGACCTATTTCTTCGTAGCTTCTCTGGAGAACAGTCTTAAGTTCCCTATATGCCCCTTCATCAAATCTGTTCTCCAGCATTTCAATGTATGCTCTGCGCAAATCTCTCCCAACTTTTGGGGTATTTTGGTGGGTCTTCTCGTATTTTTTTTAAAAAATGAGCTTCGTACCCCTTCGATTCCTTTAATCATGAAATACTTCAATGTCAAGTTCCCTTCTGATGGCTTTATGTACATCCCCAAACTGGTGAAGACTCCAGCCTTGATTACTGACCTGCCGAGCTCCCACAAGAACTAGAAGAAACTATTCTTCTTTGTGTCAGGGAAGGAATAAGAGTTTGACCTGAGTAATGCCATTGACACCTTTCATGTTCCTCGTTCTTGGTCAGGTCTTGATAACCTGGGTGTGTCCTTGTTTAGAGGAGGGTTAAGTTGGTTCATTTTGTTTTTGTATTTTTCTTGTTGACCTTATCTCCTTGGATTGTCTCAGGTATTCGTCCCAAGCTCAGAGCTGAAGATAGGCTTGCCTTGCTGGAGCTTGAGGATTGTCGCCGGGAGAAACATTCTAACTTGATCAAACATTATGTGCTTACAAAGTTTGGATTCAGCCCTCATGAGGTAAGAGTTGAGACTCCAATTCTCATCTCTGTAGTTGATGCAGAAGATCCTACCAGTAAGATTCTTCCCCTTTTATCTCTGGTTCTTTCTTTCTTTCTCTTTGTGTTAGCTAACCTTTTTACTTTCTTAGGTTCCAACTTGTTGGCTCCTGACGTTGAGGTTGTGAGGGCTAAGACATCCCAGATGAGGAGCAGCAAAGCTGCTGGAAAGTGTAAAGTTGGAGTCGGGTCTAGGCTTGATCCTTATTCGAAGGTGTAGAGAACAAAAGTGCCTCCACCTTCTCTTCCTTCCCAGGCGATCTTTTCACCTCCACTGACTTCACAAAAGGCCGTTCTAACCTCTACTTCTCAAGGGGTGTCCTCCTCTCGTCGAGGGCTCCTCTGGACGTGCTAGGGCATCATCTTCCCCTTCGTCAGCAGAGGTTGCTGGAGCTATGGAGGCCATAGTTCCTCTCTTGCGAGGGTCTTCCTTTTCCTGGCCTCTCGAGAAGACTCCTCGCTTGCATGTGGAGGGTTTATTGACAAAGGTTGAGAAGGGCAAGAGTTCGCTTATTAAGAACATGAGCCTTGCCACTGAGACCATTGCCTCAGTTATTCCTGAGCCCGATATTCAAGAGGTCTCAATGATCCCTTTACACATCTCTGCTACTACTGCTTTGTACGCAACAACTTCAGTAAGTCCTAATCTCTTTGAGTTTGCTTCTGCTTTGAGTAAATAATTTTTGCTGACCTTGACTTCTTCTTATGCTTTTCTCAACTGGCCATTCACATAAGTGCTTTTGGTAAACCGGGTTCGAGCTTTGGAGATCACAGTTGAGCAGGCTCAGAAGTCTTCAAAGGCATCTGAGCTGGGCTTCACCAATGATGATCTCAAGGCCCAGGTATATGACATCAAGGCTCAAGTTGAGGAGCTGGCCTCAGTAAACAAGAGCCTAGGGGTAGAGGCTAAGATGGTAAAGGAGAAGCTCGAACTGAAGACTGTCAGCTTAACTCAGGCGCAGAAGGATGCTTCTAAAGTTCTTGGCTCTCTCCTTACTTTGAAGAAGGAGTATATCATGCTAGTTGAGGTCAACTCCACGTTGCTGGATGAGATCGAGGCAGAAGAGCCAAGAATCGTAAAAAGGATGCTCAGATTGTAGAGTTCAAGTATAAGGTAGCTACGAACTGGGCTGCAAGATACATTGCCTTCCAGGAGCAAGCCATGGAGAAGTATCCAGATCAAGATTTTGATTTCAACTCTCCTCTGGACAAGGAGAAGGAAAAGTCAAGGGTTGAGAAGGACGCAGAGGTCCTAGTTCCTACTGCTCTTGGGGTGGAGGAGTCTATGGTCAGTGATGCTCCTGCTGACTCTGAGTTTCAGACTCCTGGCCCTATTTCTTTTGAGGCATAGATAGGGAGTTTTGAGGTGACTCTGCCCCTAGCTAAAGTTCCTACTTCCATTGTTACTGAAGCTCCTGCTTCCTTTGCTCCTGAGCTACCTGAAGCTACTTCTGATGCTCTTGCTTCTTCTACTCCTGAGGTGCCTAAGCTTCCTGAAGCCACTTCTGACCCTGCTGTAGGGACTTAGGACTTTTGCTTTCTGTTCTTTGCTTCTTTTGGTACTAAGAAAATCTTGTACTTCTTTTGAGAAATGAAAAAGTATTCTTTTGAGAAATAAAAATTTTTTTCATCTTGTTTGCTTTGTATTTTGTTCTTTCCCCTCTACCTCCTTGCTTCAAGGAGAACTCTATTCTTCTGGAAGTGAATCTGAATTTTACCAAGTATGAGGTATTCCCTTATGTTTGTTGAACTTAGTTGTTTGCTATGAGCTTCTTCATTTGTTGAAGAACTTATCTCAGAACTAGTAGAGATGCTTACCCTAATCTTTGTGAGGTGAAGATTTGATTGAGTGCTGAAGAGCTTATGAGCTGAAGAGCTTATGAGCTGAAGAGCTCATCGAGAGTTTATGAGCTGAAGAGCCCATCGAGTGTTCATGAGCTTAAGAGCTCATTGTTTAGTTATGAGCTGAAGAGCTCATCGTTTGTTTATGAGCTGTGGAACTCATCGTTTATTTATGAGTTGAAGAGCTCATCGTTTATTTATGAGTTATGGAGCTCATCGTTTATCTATGAGCCGAGGAGCTCATCGTTCATTTATGAGTTATGGAGCTCATCGTTCATTTATGAGCTGAAGAGCTCATCGGTTATCTATGAGCTGAAGAGCTTATCGTTTATTTAGGAGCTGAGGAACTCATTGTTATTTATGAGCTGAGGAGCTCATCGTTCATTTATGAGCTGTGGAGCTCATCATTCATTTATGAGTTGTGAAACTCATCATTTATTTATAAGTTGAAGAGCTCATCGTTTACTAATGAGCTGAATGACTCATCGTTTATTAATGAGCTGAGGAGCTCATTGGTTATCTATGAGTTAAGGAGCTCATCACTTATTTATGAGCTAAGGAGTTCATCGTCTCTTTATGAGTTGAAGAGCTCATCGGTTGCTTATGCTAGTAATAGAACACTAACTGGGCTGAAACTTCATCATTTTTATTAATGATGAACTTTTACAAATGTTTTGGCTACTAAATTTTTTTTTTTCAAATGGTCAGCATTCCAGGAATGAGGTAAGATCTTTCCTTCCTCCGTTTGTAGCTTGTAATTCTCAAGTCTGATTATCTTGGATATGATGTATGGCTTTTCCAGTTGGGCCTTAACTTTCTGTGAGAGGGATCCTTTCCTGTAGAGAGGAGTTTCTTGAGGATCAGATCTCCGACTTTGAAGCTTTTGTGCCTGACCTTCCTGTTGTAATATTGGGCTATCTTTCTCTGATAACTCATGATGCATTGTAAGGCTCTGTCCCTCTTCTCATCTAAGAGGTCGAGGTTGAGCAGAAGTAACTCATCATTATGCTCAGGTTTGGAGAGCTCTATCCTCGAGGATGGGATGCCTATCTTCACAGGAGCTACTACCTCAATTCTGAATGTCAAGGAAAACGGTGTTTCTTGACATTTGTTGACCTGGTTATAGTTCTGTAAGCCCATAACACCTCTGGAATGTATTCCACCCATCGTCCTTTTAAGGTTTCGAGTTTGGTCTTCAGAGCTGCTTTATTGTTCGGATAGTTACTTATGCTTGTCCATTCGAATGAGGATGAGCTGGAGCAGAGAAGTAATTTCTTATGCCCAATTGGGCACAAAAATTTTTTAATTTGGGATTGTCGAACTGCTTCTCATTGTCTGACACGATTGCCCTGGGTATTTCGAACCTACAGATTATGGATTTTTAGGTGAAGTTATGAACTTTCTACTTTGTAATTATTGTCAAGGCCTCCATCTCAGCCCATTTGGTGAAATAGTCTACTTCAATGATGACAAATTTTCATTGTCCAGTGCTGGTGGGAAGAGGTCCAAGTATGTCAAATCCTCACTATTGAAATGGTCAGGGGATAATCACTAGGGTGAGGAGCTCTAGTGGACAGTGTGGGATGTTGGTATGTAGTTGGCAGACCTTACACCTTCTGACCAGCTCTATTGCGTCTTTGAGCAGCGTGGGCTAGAAATAACCATGCCACAATATTTTTCCTGCCAAAGCTCCAGCTCTGATGTGATTATCGCAGATGTCTTCGTGGATTTTCCCTAGGATGTAATCAGCTTCTTCACTCCTTATACATTTGAGGAGAAGTGCCGAGAAACCCTGCTTGTACAGATTTCCTTGTATGGGGGTGAATCTGGATGATCTGACTCTTAGTTTTGCGGCTTCTTTAGAATTGCTAGTAATATTCCATTCTAAAAGTACTCCCTGATTAGATCTATCCAAGTTGGTTGGACCAGTACAAGGAACACTTCTTCATCCTCATGGCTTACTGATGGCTAAGCTAGGTGCTCAACTAAAATTAGTCTGTCTAGGTTATCTTGAGAAGTTGTGGCTAGCCTTGCTAAGGTGTCAGCTCGGGAGTTCTCGGCTCTAGGGACATGCATGACCTTAACCTGCATGAATTTTTTCATTAGCTTTTAGTTTCAAAAGTCTCCTTAATCAGTTTCATCACAAGCTGGGAGTTGCTATAGATCACGAGCTGGTCTGCCTTCATGGAACGTGCTATGTTAAGCCCGGTAATGATGGTTTCGTATTCAGCTTCGTTTTTTGAAGTCTTGAATCCAAACCAAGGGAGGTCAGAATCAACCCAACACTGATGTCTTGGGCGTTAGCAGTTCCATCTACTGAAAGCTTCTATGTGGGGAGGTCGGGTACTAGCTAGGTTGCCTCCATGGATGCTTCTGAGGCTACAGTGAACTCTGCAATGAAGTCTGTCAGTACTTGCCATTTGATTGCGGTTCTGGGTATGTATCTAATATCAAAATCCTTGAGCTCTATGACCCATTTGACCAACATTCTTGAAAATTTTGGTTTGTGCAACACCTGTTTCATTGGCTGGTCTGTTGGGACCTCAATGGTGTGAGCTTTGAAGTATGGTCTGAGCCTTCTTGCTGCCGTGACCAGAGCTAGGAGTAGCTTTTTCATTTTTTGGTATCTCTCTTCCACCCTTCTCAGAGCTCTACTACAGTAGTAAACTAGTAGTTGAGCTCTATCTTGCTCTCTGACCAGTGTTGTGCTAGTTGTAAATTTTGAAAATATCAAGGTATAGGGTGAGCACTTCTCCCTCCCTAGGGCTCACCAAGATTGGGGGTGAGCTAAGGTAGTTTTTGAGGGCTTTGAATGCTTCCTCGCAGCATGTATCCCACTAGAGCACCTTTTTAAGGTTTGGAAGAAAGGCTAGCACTTGTTGCTTGAACTGGAGACAAAGTGACTTTATGGCTATCATCCTTCTTGTTAGGTGTTGGACCTCCCTTGTGGTTGAAGGTGGTTGCATATCTATTACTGCCTTGACCTTCTCCAGGTTCGTCTCTATTCCTCTATTGTTGACTATAAAGCCCAAAAATTTCTCAGCAGAGACCCCAAAGGCGCATTTGACTAGGTTGAGCTTCATCTGATACTCCTTGGAGATTTGGAAAAACTATTCAAGGTGCCCAATGTGGAGCTCAACTTTCAACGACTACACCTGCATGTCGTTAATGTACACCTCCATTGATGTTCTGATCCATTTTTGAAACATTCGGTTTACCAAACGCTGGTATGTAGCTCCAGTGTTCTTCAGTCCAAATGGCATGACCTGGTAGCAGTATGTCTCCTGCTTAGTCATAAATGATATTTTTTCTTGGTCGTTGGGATCCATTCTAATTGGGTTATACCCAAAAAAAACATCTATGAAGCTAAGGAGCTTATGTCCAATCGTGGCATCTACGATCAGGTCAATTCGAGGTAAAAGAAAGTTGTCCTTGGGGCAAGTATGGTTTAGGTCAGTGAAGTTGATGTAGAGGCACCACTTGCCGTTTGACTTCTTGATGAGGACGACATTGGCTAACCAAGTCAAATAGTTCACCTCTCTGATGGTTTTGGCGTGGAGAAATTTGTTGACCACATCGTTAATCTTTTTTTGGTGGGGCAAAAATTCTCTACTTCTGTTTGATGGGCTTGAAGATTGGATGCACGCTGAACTTGTGCATGATGACTAAGGGGTCAATCCCGTGCATATCCTCCTACTTCCATGCAAACACCTCCATATTCTTTTCTGAGGAATTGAATAAAGAGGTCTTTAACTTTCCTAGGCAGCTTCAGTCCCACACATACCTAATGCTCTGGCTCCTCATCAAGTTGGATAGGTTCCAGCTCTTCTGAAGGCATTGGCCTTGTTTCCAACTCATCTCTCATTTTGAGCTCGTCCAACTAGATATTCTTGACCTCTTTTTTTCTTTAAGGATGCCATATAGCACTCGCGTGCTACTCGCTGGTCTCCTCGGACCACTCCAATGCCATTTTTTGTGGGAAACTTCATGACGAGGTGGTAGGTAGAAGGAATAGCCCTCATGACATTGAGGGAAGGTCTTCCTAGCAGAACATTGTATGTTGAGGGAGCATCAACTACTAAGAACCTTGCAGTGGTGGTGGACTGGCAAGGTAGATCTCCCATGGTGGGAATGAACTGGATTGAACCCAGGGGTAACACCCTTTCCCCTGAGAATCCTAGAAGGTGAGTCCTCACTGGTTCAAGTTTGTCTCTACCTATATCTATCTTGTCGAAGGCAAATGCAAAGATGATGTTGGCAGAGCTCCCATTATCAATTAGAACCCGATGGAAAGTTCTGTTTGCGATGATGGCCCTTACCACCAAAGGGTTATTATGGGGATGCTGGCAACCCTCTAGGTCTGCGTCCGAAAAAGTGATGTCCATGCTCAGCCGGGGTGTTTTGGACACAGCTTGCACCTCTAGTACTTCCTCAGTTCTGACCTTGTGCATGTGAGCCTTCCTCGCTGAGTTGGATTCCCCACCTCCAACGAACCCTCCAAATATCACTCTGATCTCTCCTAGAGGTTGTTGATGCTGCACAGGGATTTGCTACTGAGGTGTTAGGGGTAGGTGAGCTCAGTTCTGATTATTTAGCGCCACAAAGCGGCGCAGTTGCCCCTATTGAATCAGGAACTCGATCTCCTTCTTTAACTAGATGCAGTCGTCAGTGAGTTGGCCATAGTCT